TAATAATAATAATAGTAATAATAATAATAATAATAGTAATAATAATAATAATAATAGTAATAATAATAATAATAATAATAGTAATAATAATAATAATAATAGTAATAATAATAATAATAATAATAGTAATAATAATAATAATAGTAATAATGATAATAACAATAGTAATAATAATAATAATAATAGTAATAATAATAATAGTAATAATGATAATAACAATAGTAATAATAATAACATTACAGAAGTAATTATTTCTTATGAGAAGATATGCTAAATGCAAGGATTTTGGTTTTAGGTAGGGTTATTTCTTATGGGAAGATATGCTAAATGCAAGGATTTTGGTTTTAGGTAGGGTGAAGCGTTTTGATGGGGATTCCTTGTTGACGGATCCATCCAGTAAACCAAACCAAACTAAACTACAACGATTTCATGGGAAACTACATCGATTTCATGGGGCCGGCACCGTAGATATCTGCATGTTTAAAAGAAGGCGGAGGTAGGGTGAAGCGTTTTGATGGGGATAAACCAAACCAAACACAACGATTTCAAGGGAAACTACATCGATTTCATGGGGCCCGCACCGTAGATATCTGCATGTTTAAAACAAGGCGGCGGGAGAACAGATCGATTGGCCAAAAATTCTTTTTTTCACAGTGATTTACGTACAAGCCCTCAATTTTTTTCTAAAATATGAAATGTCTTAGAAATTACAAAAAAAGTCGGTAAATCCATTGTTTTATTTTTTGTCAAAATTGACCTTAGGTTCGAAAAAATCCTCATACTGAATTTTAATTTTAATTTTTTTAAGTTTTTTCATTAGCAGAGCATTGTCCTACTAACAGAAAAACTTAAAAGATAAAATTAAAATTCAGACCGAGGATTCGATCTTCAGTCCGAGGGGCAGTTTTGGAAAAAATAAAAATAGTGAGTTGACCTATCTTATTTGTAATTTTTGCTAATAAACTGAGTATTTTGTATTTAAATTTTTTCTAAGATATGTATATAAATCACTCTAAAATATACAAGAAAAAATATATAATGAGACTATTTATCTTTAGTACTAAAAGGTCATACAATTGGATGTGAAATTAGATGGCAATATTTATTTTACTGATCAAGTTCAAACTTCAAAAAAAATTTTATTAAACTTTGTGACACATTTGAGCTATCAAATTAATGATTATAAATAATTATGACCTTCATACCCGAGCTATCAAATTAATGGTTTTAAGTAATTAGGACCTCCAATACATAAATACCGAACTAGAGGAGGAGAGAAGAGCCATAAAGTGGGGAGGAGGTGAACACTAGAGAGTGAGAGAGACAGGAAGATGATGGGGAAGGATTGGGGTTCTCTGCCATGGCTCATGTCCATGTTGATCTGCCTCTATACCTTGGTGGTATGGGCAGGCAGGAAAAGCCCCAAGCTTCCTCCTGGTCCGAAAGGCCTCCCCTTGCTCGGAAGCCTCTTAGAGTTGGGAAACCGACCCCATGCAGCCCTCGCGACCTTGGCCAAGACCCATGGTCCCCTCATGACCCTGCGCCTTGGACTCCGGACTGTGGTCGTTGCCTCCTCTTCCGACATGGCCAAGGAGGTGTGCCAGAAGAACGACCACGCACTTGCCAGCCGCTTCGCGCCTGAAGCCATCAAGGTCGACTCTCATGACCAGTACTCTATCGCTTGGGGCGGGATCAGCCCCCTGTGGCGCAACGTCCGCCGTGTCAGCACAACCCATCTCTTCACGAAGCAACAGGTTGAGTCGCAGGAATTCCTCCACCACCAAAAAGTACAACAAATGGTCGGCATCATAGAAAAGGACTGTGCAGCGAAGCGAGCAGTGGCCATACGTCGAGTTGCTTTCCTTACTGGCATCAATCTCTTATCCAACATGATCTTCTCGGTGGACGTGGTTGATCCCGAAGCAAGTGAGTTCAAGCAGCTCTTATCGTCGCTCGGCGAGGAGCTCGGACGGCCTAACGTCGCAGACTACTTCCCACTGCTTAGGCACTTTGATCTACAGGGGATTCAGCGCCGGGCTGCTGGCTGCATCAAGAAGTTACATCAAATATTTAACGAAAAGATCGAGGAGCGTTTGAGGTTCAGAGAGAGCGGACAGCCAAGATGCGGTGACTTCCTCGACATTTTGCTCGACCCCATCGATGCGAAGGGATCCAAGTTCAGTCGTGCAGAGATCTTGTCTCTGATCATAGTAACATCTTCTCCCCTCTTAAAATTTTTTTTTTTTCTAATTAATTTTGAAGTCTAATAATTCTGATTCAATCCTTCCCAGGAGTTGTATTTTGGAGGGAGTGAATCGAATTCTATAACAGTGGAATGGGCAATGGCCGAATTGCTACACAACCCAGCACAGATGGCCACTGTTAAGCAGGAGCTTTCGGAGAAAGTGGGGCACCAGCGCGCAGTCGAAGAGGCAGACATGGATAGGCTCCCTTACCTGCAAGCAGTTATAAAAGAAAGTCTGCGGTTGCACCCACCTGGGCCGCTTCTCCTCCCTCGCAGGGCCGACGCCACTGTAGAAATCGCCGGATTCGTCATACCGAAGCACACAACGGTGGTGATAAACGTCTGGGCAATCTCTAGAGAAGCTCGTACCTGGGAGAACCCGACAACATTTTCGCCGGAGAGATTCATCGGGTCCGATGTCAATTACAAGGGGGGAGATTTCAGTTTTATTCCATTTGGAGCAGGCAGGAGGATTTGCCCTGGTCTACTTCTTGCAGAACGCATTGTGCAGCTGATGCTCGCCTCTCTGCTGCAATCCTTCGACTGGGAGCTTCCCCTTGGGTGGAAACCAGAAGAGATGGATATGAGTGAAGAGTTGGGGTTCACTTTGCATAAAAAAGTCCCATTAGAAGTCATCCCCATGAAAAAAAATTAGATGCCAATACATAAAGGATTTCCAATTATATCTGGTGATCTTGTTTTATGGATTTTATGGCAATGGTATCTAGCATTTGTAAAATAAATGCAACTTCTCGGAGAAGTATGCTAATTTCTCTTTTTATTGTTGATGAAGGATTCTCTGACTTAGTGAGAAGTATGCTATTTTTTTATTTTTATTATTTATTTATTTATTTATGTATTTTTATTTTTTGCATAATCTCCATGTTAAAAATTATATATTCCTTAAAAATTAAGATCAAATTATATTTATATTGCCTAATCCACATTTCTACAATAATCGGGCTGGCCGCATAGAAACCATGTCCAAGAAACACAATTCTGATATTTTTTTTTTTTTTTTGAGAGTGAGGTTGAAGTTGTGGTGGTAAAACGACTTCAACCTCAACCAATCAGTCTAAGTTTCCATTCTCGTTTACGCATATGAGACCACTAACTATTTCTAAAATCAGGTAGGGTTGTATTCCTCACGTATCTACCTTCCATTCTCGTTGACGCATTTGAGACCACTAACTATTTCTAAAATCAGGTAGGGTTGTATTCCCCACCTGTCTACCTTCCATTCTAGTTTACGCATATGAGACCACTAACTGTTTCTAAAATCAGGTAGGGTTGTATTCCCCACCTATCTACCAAAAAAAAGTTCCGATATTTTTTACTTAAATTAATAACAAAAAATTAAAGGAAAATTTGCATACACTGTTAAATTTATGGAATTACCATTTGGTCTATATTTTTTGAAATTTTATAATGATTTTGTTTTTTCTTGCCGTTGGTTCAATAACATCAATCCACGTTTCTTTTTCTTTTTCTTTTTTTTATTTGAGTTTCTAGATCGGACTGAACCATTTATACAGTAAACAAAAATAAACGCTGTAAATAGTCTAGATCCTATTTGAAAGAATTCCAATGAACGGTTCATAAAATGGTACGAGATAGACATTTTTTAAAACTCTTTTTTTTTTTTTGTGAAATTCACTTATAGAATGGATAAAACATGTGGTATTATTGCATGGTCCATAGGTCTATATTTTTTATCATATTACATTAAGGTCCTATTTTTTTGTGTTTTTTTTTATTTTATTTTTATTTTTTATCCTCTGTTCAAAAGTCTATACGAAAAAATACGTCTTTTAATGAAAAGTTCTTGGTCAGTTTACCGCCTGGGTTTTCAACGGTTTTAGAATTCAAGGCACGTCTTAAATGGAAAAAGTTTATCTAAGGATGCAACCTTATAATATAGAACTATGGATGCACCTCAAAAATCCATTGAAAAAGGTATGTTTAATGTTGAAAAACCCTTTGATTGATCATCTCGACATCGAGATGTATGACCATGAAAATAAAAAAGATTTGAAGTATCAGAAATAGTGTATTTTACCACATATTATATACACCGTCCATTTTCAATATTTTCATATGTTTATAGATCTACTTGATTTTAACCATTTTTTAAATTTAAAATGTTATAATTAGATATAAAAATAGATTTTGAAATCATCCTAAAAATATTTTATATCAAAATTATATACCATGATAAAATTTGAATGTGCACTTTACCTCTACTGCTACGAATGCATCCGTATGCCAACTACACCCATCTTAAATTACTGCAAATTTAATTTTGTCTTATATCTATAAATTTGAAGTTCTAAAAACAATATAGTTCTGGTGATACTTGAAAGCTTGAAATGAAGGTTCAAAAAAAAGGTACAAGATTGACATTTTTTAAGACACAAAATCCATTTTTGAGGAACTTACATATGGACTGGCTTGATCTATAATTTGAGTCATATTACGTTATGGTTCTATTTTTCTGAGTTTTTTCTTTTTCAGTATTTCATCCCAATTCGAAAGTCTAATTGTCCAACCACCCAAAGGATGTATTTGGGCAATTTTGAAGATCAAACTTTAGACTCTAAAAAATTTTCCGTCCCAAACCCGGCCGGTTGGAGGTCGAACAGGCAATTTTTAAGTGAAACCGGCCGGTTTTATACTAACCGGACCGGTTAGACGATATAACGGCCGTTTTTACAAAAAAAATGGTAATGTACCCGTTACGGTCATTATTTTGAAATCGAGGCCGTTATTTGTAGTAGGCATTCTTGAATCCAAATTTTGCCTTTTTTTTATCCGTTTTCGTGCCTTTTTTTTGTCCTTTTTCATGATTTATTATTGTAAATCACTATATATAATCTATAAAACAATAAATTTGGATTGAAACATCTTAAAAAAAAAAAAAGATTTCCTTGGATCACAATGGCGGATTTTTTAGGTTTTTGAAAATTTCCTCCATTATTTCAATAATTTCTTCAATACCTAATGGTTCTTGAGGAAATTTGGTGGTTTTGATAGATAATTGAATTATTCATCAGATTTATGTTTCAATTTGTTCAAAAAACCAAATATTATGGGTTGATTTTGGCCCGAAATGCTGCTACTCAAAGAACTTGTATTTGATCAAAAAACACAGATTTTATATGTATTTATTGGTTGTTTTTTATTAAATTGAGTTGTGGATTTTTATGATCAATGCTTCATCTCTCAAATAAAATAGGTATGTCTATTTATGATTGAATAAATGTTTTTATATGAATTTTTTCGTTGCACCATATCATATCATGAAAATTTCATAGATCTGAAATTTCTGCCTCTTTATCAATTAAATTAAAAATACCGAATATTTTTTTATGAAATTTGGTGCGTTTGAAAGTTGATCGAAGCTTTTACAAGGCATGTATGTTTATTTGTTCGATTATCCAAATATTGAGGATCGTTTCTTGCTCAAAATATTCCTTAATTTTTTGGGTTTTTGAAAATCGATTTTTCTAAAAAAATAATATTTTGTTTAATGAAATTATGTTTTTCGATGAATATGAGAAGTTCTTTTCTATTTTTCTTAATAAATTATTTTTAATAGAATTATAATTTTTTAATAAAATTACGTTTTTTGATGAATATGGGAAGTGTTTTTCTATTTTGCTTAGTAAAATTATTTTTAATAGAATTATGATCTTTTAATAAAATTACGTTTTTTGATTAATATGGGAAGTGTTTTTCTATTTTCTTAATAAAATTATTTTTTTTTATAAAATTATTATTTTTGATGAAATTGATTCTTCTTTTTTATAGGTACATGCTAATGTTGCTCGATTTTTTTTAATTATGTTTTTTTTAAGTGCATGTAAAAATTTTGGTTGCCTTATGTTCAATGAAACACTACACCAGCG